GTGGTGTCAGATACTAACTGCCTCACTGGAGTGTTCCTTCGAGTTAATTTTAACCATTTTTTTTCCTTCCTAAACTAAAACATGTTAACACTTTCACTTGGTAAGTTTACCAAGAACTTAAATAGAGTTCTATGAATGCAAATATTGGGCAGGATTTTCTGAATGGTGTGGACAAAAAACTTTGGAATAGTTCTGTTCCATAATAAGAAGCCACTTGAGACACTAAGCAGAAAATCTGATTGCTCAAAATCCATCTGTCATTATGGTTTAAAATAATGTGTGTGTGAATTGTTGAAAGAAAAGCTGGTGAAAAGATGGCTGCAAAAAAATACTACCAGAACCTAAATAATAGTCTTGGCCACTGTAAGGAATAGATTTCAGGGAAACACACATGTAAGTTCAGTTGCAAGAAAATGATAACCTGAAACTAACTATGAAGATCCTTCTAAAAGATAATTTGATTAAAAAAATAGAAAAGAAATAGAAAAGAAAGAAATATTCTCTGTATGTCTTCTCCAAAAGAACTGCTTCCAAATTCTCATATGCTATTTATCATCCCAGGAATGATATATATACTATTAAAGTCAACGGTGGTTATTTTTTATATTTTAGTGATAGCTTCAGACCTACTTCAAAATTTAGGAACTGTGAGATCTTTGATGTGTTTTACTTGCTTTCTCTCATTTTCAATTTGATTATATAATTTAAACTGAATGTATCTACTTTCTTAAAAAAATTTCATCAAAAAGTAATGGGCAGGACTTGGTGGAGTGATTCAAGTGGTAGAGCACCTGCCTAGCAAGTGTGAGGCCATGAGTTCAAACCACAGTATTGCCAAAACACAGTAATGGGCAACAAAAATATTTATGTAAGTACACTTACATAAGCAAAGATTTCAAATACAGTAGGTAAATTAAATCATTTTATAGATCAAGACATTAAAGATGACAAATTTAAAATTCAATTACATAAAAGTATCAAATAAATAGAACAATTTTGGAGTCATAGTCATGATTCAGTCTGTATCATTCAACTTAAAGTATATTAGACAAACTAGAGATGGAAGGGAAACAGTATGTTCTTTTTTGTTTTGTTAGTCAGTATGTGCTAGGATTACAAACAGATAAAAGTGACAATTGATTATTTTCTAAATGACTGAATATAGACAACAGGCTTTTTGCTTGAATAAATTTTATTTTAGAGTAAGAATGGAGTAGCCATAGAAACAAATGAGACTGAGCAAGTAAAATAAAACTTAGCCATTCCACAGAAACTGCTGGGAACACTTTAATATGAATGAAATGTCCTGTTATACAAAATCTATTATGTCTTTGTTCACTATTATTATAAAATATGAGCTTATGTTGCACATAGGTTTTCAAGGTGCTTCCATTTTCTGTATCTCTTATTCTCACAACCATCTCATAGTCAAAAATCATAAATGTTATTTTTAGATTAAGAAACAGAGTTTCATAGATTAAAGGCTTAAAAGCTTTAAAAGGCCATTTGAATCTTAACAATGAATTCTTTGCATATACCCTTGTGATATTCTTTTGAAAAGACTCATATTGCTTTTGACTTAACTCATTTATCCTGATTACGTTTATTAGATCAGGATACATAGTCACATTAGGATTGAAAGTAAGTATGTAACTATTGATCACTTATGCTTTACTTTACTCTATTATTTCTTTGTAATTCTAAAGCTATACGACAAAATAACAGTTATAGTCCTCCGATTTTTAATATTTACCTGCTCATTAGCATTTAGTCTGGGTTTGGCCCACTTGTCCTGTGAAGAGGGAGTGGTTCCTTCTAAGTATAGGCATTAAGAGAGTGTATTATCTGTGGAAGGCCTAAAACAAGATTTCAATAAGAAATCAAGCTACAGATCAGGCTTCCTTTTATTACTTATATACTATGGCAGTTCAAATAATGTCAATTTAAAAATAATCTTCCCTGCCAAGGTGGGTGAACCTTATTGTCCTGGTCCACCCACCACTATTCTCTACTGTCATATTCCATGCATCATGTGTGACACTTCAACTTTCTTATCAGAGTTCACTCGAGAATAATCTATGTTACATAGTTTAAAGTAGCCAGTACAATTTTTCTTTAACTTGACATGTCAGTGACAAACTGACCTTGTAGGAAGCACACGTTTCCATCTCTTCAATAATGCACGATATACCCTAATAAACTAGACCTTTAATTTAATAGAAGTTCATAATACTTCTTATCTCACTGCTAAGTTTACAAATGCCACTGAAAAACTGAACTAAAGAATCAGAAATCTGGGTGATAGCCATAGTGTATATGGCATATTTCGTTGTCAAAACCACATGAAGGCACAATGAGCTTCAAACAGTTAAAGGTAAATGACACGATTAATGAAGACTTGAAATACAGAACGGTATATACACAAACACAACACATACACAACATAGAACATTGTAATCAAATGAACTTGAATGAAATCACTAATGTGAAGCCAAGTACATTCAATCCTTCTCACCCTTCTTTAACATCAATTTTATACTCATTTTGGAGAAAATCATTAAAAAAATCTCTTGGTATCAGGAAGCACCTGGAACCATCTGTAGCTGTACCTGTGGATGAAAGAAAAATATGCACATTTGGGGACTCCTATATCTGGTAATAGTAGAATAGGGAGTGCAACAACATTCCTGCTACAGACAGCTAGCATAACTGCACAAAATACGTTTAAAATTTATTTCATAGGATAGCATTTGAAGGAGAAAAAGAAATGAATAATTACTGAAATAAGGTCTGGCAGAAAAGTGATCCCTATGAAAGTAAAGCCAGCCTTTTGGAGCTGTTTATCTTCTAGGTACCTTTTCAGATCTCAGCGGTAGCTGCTAAGAACCTAGGAATATGTGGTGCTGCTGAATGTCTCTCTAAACTAGTGAGAAAGAGATTAGATTTCAAGGTACGCTGGAGACCCCTGAGGAAAGACCTTTCACATGGTTGAATCACGAGCAGTGGGGCCTGAGGAATAATGGGGCTCCTGATATTGCATTCAACAAAAAGCAGCTACGTTTGCTCTATCAATAGATATAAAGACAAATTAAAATTTTCAACTGAGATCAGGTAACTACAAAAACGAGCCTCATAGTAGTTGTAATACTGACAATATAAGAACTAAATGAACTAAATGAATTCATTAGTAGCAGATTATACCAACTGCAGAATTAGTGAACTAGAGATAATAGAGAAAAGGAAATCTAGAACAAAGTATAAGAAGGCAAAAAGATGGGAGGCAGAATAGTAAGTGAGAGAGAAATACAGTAAAAAGAGTGATGGGCTAGGGATGTAGCTCAGTGGTAGAACACTTGCCTAGAGTGCACAAGGTCCTGGGTTTGAGTCCCAGCACAGCAAAAAACAAAAAAAATTAATAAATAAAAAAGAGTGAATCTGTGTGTATTGGAGACCCATAGCATATGGAGAGTATTGGAAAGAAGCAGCAAGTGAGGAAATTCTCCCAAACTGTGTAAACAGTAAGAAACCTGTAAAAATTCAAAACAAAAAAGAAGCCTAAAGCTAGACAGCTCAAAGTAAAACTGCTAAAAACTGAAAATAGCAATAAAGTCTTAACAGTAGCAAAAGCCACAATGCATTTTGTGAGCAAAAATTCATTGAGCCGAATACTCATCAGGAAAACTATGAACTTACATAACATCAGGTGACATCTAAAAAGTCTAAGAACCAAAAACTGATGATATGGAATTCTATTGCCATTTATACTTCAAGAATTAAGGTAACATAGAGCTATTTTTTCAAGCATAGTTTTCTTTTCATAACCACCTATAGGCTAATATTAAAGAAAATTATCTCAAGCTTCAGCTGAAAAAAATACATAAAACTGAAATCAACCAACACATAGGAGACGTCAACAGCTCTGCAATCATTATCAGGGATTTTAACACATTTATTTATACACCAGTCAACCAAGCAAATGAATCAGTTTGGATAAAGATTTGCACAAATTCAACTATTAAGACACTGATACATAACTGAACATAATACTGATAAAAATGTCATTTAATAGCACAATAATTTTGGGAGGAAAATATGCTAGGCCAACAAAACAAAATTCAATAAAACAAGCCTTATTAAATTTCAATTGTTTTGTGCATTTTCATGTCTATTAGTGTATTATGTTACTTTAATAACTATTAGTTAATTTTATTGTCAACAAATTTATAAGACTTGAAATCATACTGGTCACAACAAATTGAGTTAGAAATTGATGTAAAAATAAACTAAAATAACTTTTCTTGTTCTGTGGATATCCAGAAAGGCAGCTAACCAAAGAATCAAGTAACAAGACAAAATGGGAATTAGAAAATATTTAAAAATATACAAGATATACCTTTACTGACAATAAAAGGAAAAGCAGAAAAACATATCAACTTTGTGCTAATAACTTTGAATATTTTGAGCAAAATGGGAAATACAGTTCTTAATAGTTCTATCATATTTAAGAGATTGATTTTCTAATTAAGTATACTTTCACAAATAAAATTCTACCCCCAATTGTTTCTTTAATGAATTATATCAAACACTTAAGACATAGAATATAATTAATCTTGGAAATATAAAAAGAGGAAATACTTCCTAGATCATTTTACCAGGTCAATAAAACCTTGATTCTAAACCTGACAAGGACAGTTCAAGGAAAATTACTAGCTGTTCTCACTTACAAACTTAGTTGCAAAAGTCCTAAGCAAAATATTAGCTAATCGAATCTGACAATGTATTCAAAGGACAATAAACCAGCCTAAGTTTTATTCTAGGAATTCTAGATTGATTTTACAAGAAAATTAGACACTATATTCAACACATAGAACAAGAGAAATGTATCAGATTATCTTAATAAATGAAAAAGAATATTTAATAAAGTATAACTTGCATTCATTATTAAAAAATAAACACTTGGCAAAGATAGAAAAAAACTTACTTACCTGGTGCTGTGGCTTATGTCTGTAATCCCAGCTACTTGGGAGGTGGAGATTGGGAGGATCTTGGTTCAAGGCCAGCCCAGGGAAAGAGTTAGCAGATCCCATCTCAACAAATTAACTTGGCAGCCCACCTACTAGAGAGAGACATAAGTAGTAGGATCATGGCTAAGGCAAGCCCCTATCTAAAAAAATAAAGCAAAAAGGGCTGGAGATGTGGTTCATGTTTCAGAACACTTACTTAGCAAGCCTAAGGCCCTGAGTTCAAACTCAGTACTGCCAAAAAAAAAAAAAAAAAAAAAAGAAAGAAAACTTACTTAATCATAGCAGAATTGTCTACAAAAGCTATAGCATGAATCATACCTACTGCTAAAATGTTGCATTTTTTTCTTTTGAGATTGGGAGCAATTTAATGTTGTTTACTGTAACTACTTCTATTCAACATTGTTCTAGGAAGTCCTAGTCAGTAAGTCAAGTAAAATAAATGAAATTTGAATTAAAAATAAAGAAGCAAAAATATTAAAATTTCAAAAAGAATCTATAAAATGCCATTAGAACTCACAAGTGAACTTTGCAAGGGTGTCTTATGAAAGGCATACACACCCCAAATCAATTGCATTTCTATGTACAAGGAAGAAACAAGAAATTAAAATTTATACTACTTGATAAATCACCCAACCAAATCTTCAAATATCTAGATGTAAATCTGACAATTTATGTGCAACTTCCAACATACAACTATCAAATACTGGTAAAAGATAATTTAAATACAGTTATATACCACATTTAAAGCTTTTAAGACTCAATATTATAAAATCATCAAATCTTCTTATGCTGATTCAATAATATACTAAATAAAATGCCAAGGTGATTTTCCTTTTTTTGAAACAATGTTGTTTTGAAGTGGTTCCAATATTTGTTTGGCAATATAAATGACACAAAGTAGGCAAGTCACTCTTGAAGAAGAGAAAGATGGAAGGTTTTGGTCTCTTTAATATCAAGTCTTATTAAAATCTCCAATAACTAAGACATTGTGATCATTGCAATACCTTTGAAACATGACTGCTTGGGTTACAATAGGGGAACAAGTACAGAGCAGTGACAGTGTGACTTCTCGGTGAGCAGTCCTAATCTTGGTAGTCTACCTTTCACCATTCAAAAATAATTCTACATACACTGCAGATCTATGTGTGGAAAGGAAAAGTCTCTAAAATGTAAACTAAGAGTTTATTTTCGTGATCTGGGTAGGGAAAGAATGTTTGCCATAGGAGAAAAAAATTGATAAATTAGGCTATATTAAAATCTTGTATTCATTGAGACACCACAATGCATACCAGAAGACAAACTAGTCACAAAAGAAGACATGTTATCTGAGCCTATTTATATGACCCTTTAAAAAATATGAAAAGCTAAACTCTCATGCCAAGGGGTCAAAACTATAAAGCAAAGCAGTGATTTCCATAAAAATTTGGGGTGAGGGAAAGAAGAGGGTAAAGACTGATAGTGTGGGGACAGTTTCTATTTCCTGATGTAGCCAAAAGTTATGCAGCTTGCTTTGTGATGATTTACTAAGCTCTATGTTTTTGTCTGGGGCACTTCCATATTGTATACAAAAATATGCAAGTGTATACTTCACAATATACTGCTAAAAGCAAAATAAAAGAGTGTGGACTGACTGAATAGCCACAACCAAACAGAATGAATTAGTAGACTGATATCCACTTACACGCATCAAGTGTGTTTGTTTTCAGTTCTCTGCTGTTAACCTGAAATTCCCAATGTATCAATTCAGGATTTATGACATCAAAGGAGTCATGAAATTTTCAGATAGTTTAAAACTGACATAGGTAACAGAATCAAGATCCAAATGTAATTCCAGACCCAAACCAACAAGAGGAAACATATCAGGGTAATGTACTCATAGCATGCCAAATGTTGGCTGTCAGAAGCTTAGGCAGAGACATCCCAGGCTCCTGTCACCAAGAGTATTTAAATGTCAGAGCTCCAGGAGTTGGTCTAGCTTCTGTGTGCCAGTAAACAGGTGGCTCTGTGTTCAAAGAGAATTAAAAGCACCCAATCGCAGGAATGTGTGTAACAATCAAATCCCAGAAAGGATCCACACAAAATAGCCTCTTTCTTTTTGCAGCCCTGGGGTTTGAACTCAGGACCTCACACTTGCTAGGCAGGCATTCTACCACTTAAGCCACTCTGCCAGCCCCCAAATAGTCTTCAAAACCAAAAACCAAAGAGTGGTGGCTGTAACGTGCAGTTTTCCCTCTCACCTGGCCTAACTGGCAGCCCAAGTTTGTGAGGAAAACAAGGTCCAATACTGCAAAATGTTTCCTTCAGCACTTACTCATTAAGAACAGTAAACACATACTGGAATTGTGGCTCATAACCATATTATAGTCATGGGGGGATTGAGGAAAGAAGAGTCAGAGAGTCAGAGCAGAAATGGCAACTTCTGCCACAGTGGTGATCATGACTGGAGAAAATAAGGCAAGATAATAAAATGTTTACAGCTTTCACTATATAACTTACATCTGTTTATTCTCACTAAATATACTGATGTCTTATACTCATGACACCTTCAGTGTAAGATAGCAGACCACATGACTTCTTTTTTAAAGGAAATATATCATTAGACTACAGCAATAAAAGCCTAGAGTCTAGATCATCAAAGAGAAGAGTTTGGTTTGGCTCTAATAAACCGTGTTTGCAGCTTGGATGCTACATCTCTACAACGTATTAAGAGAGTTAGATTCAGGGATGGTGACCAACATGATGACAGACGTGCAAACTAAGCCCATGAGCAGTTGAAGGAACCAGAGCTATGTGACTTAGAAAGAAGAGAAAATAAGAGGGTCGTGTTCCAATATAGGAAGGAAAGGGTTGTCATGTAGAAAAGGTGCCACCATGTTTCTTAGCTGTGGCTGTGGAGTCACATCACTTGTCAGAGCTGTGCAAAAATACTGAGGCTACTCCAGACCTACTGAATCACAACCTCTCAAGATGGTACCTTTGCTTGATGCTCCCAGGTGACTCTGATATAAAACTAAAGTTATAGTGCAAATACTGTGTACACATGTATGTAATTGGAAAATGATACCTGTTGAAACTATTCCAGGAATGGAGGGGAGGGTAAGTAAAGGAGAATGGTGGAGGGGGTGAACTCAACTATGGTATATTTGGTATATTGTAAGAACTTTTGTAAATGCCACAATGTACCTCCAGTACAACAATTAAAAAAAATAAAAGCTAAAGTTGAGATCTACCAGTGGAGCATCCATCAATGTTCAGAAATTACAATGGGGTAGGTATGGAGCATTTAAAAATACAGGAAGAACAAATAATTTTGTTAACAATAAATATTTGGGGATAGAATCTTTGGGTTAGCAACAAAGTAGTTTTAGAAAATCTTTGGAAATATTGAAAAATAGAGTAAAATAACAAAAAAGTCTTCTGAGGATTCTGCCAAAATAATCCCTGTCTGTGTAGAAAGCCACTGTATAAATTTGAGATTCTCTCTGAAGTTACTGTTTTTTGAAGTGGCGTACATACCAAACTGCTTCATTATTCGAAGGTCAGATTTTTAGCATCCTTAACCCTGAACAATGGAGTCACTCAGATCTTTACTGGATTTACTGGAAAATTTGATGGTAACAGATAATCAAGCTTATTCTTATCAAGGATTTGATAAACTTGATTGTCTGTTACTTCTCTAGCCTGCAGCAGATTAGGAGAAAATGAGAAGTGAGGATAGGAAGATTATTGGGAGACACATGTGACATCCCCAAGAGTGAACATGGTGGGGGAAGGGAAGCAGGAAAATATAAAAAGCAAATAGAAATCTATTACTGCACAAGAGACATTCATAAATTCTGAAAATGATGTCACTGAGTCACCTAAAGTACTTGATTTATGATGAGAATCTTGTTATAAAAAAGAAATTTTCACAGGATAGCAGAATTTTTGATGAAACCACTACTAGTAAAAAAAATTATCAACACTCTTCATTTTTTAAAAAATATTTTAAATGGCCAGAATTGGTGGCATTTGCTGTAATCCCAGAATTCAGGAGGCAGAGACAGGAAAATCACAAGTTCAAGACCATCCTAGGCTACATAATGAAACACTGTCTCAAAAACAAAACTCATGCAGGAAAGTGTCATTTCATTGTTACATTAAAAAACAACCCACCATGTAACCAGCATCCAGAATAAATAAATAATCATTTCCAGAAACCAAAAACCCTTCTACTCCCTCCCAATCATTATTATCTGCCCTCCCAAACAGCTGCTGTCCTACTCACAATAAACAGACTCATACTATATTTAGTCTTTCATGTCTGATTTCTTTTATTCAATTTTGTGTTTATAAGGTAATGACTAACAGAATGTGAAAATGACCTGTCATGTAAATAATGACTGAGCAAGGCCTAGGGAAAGCCACAGCTCTTAATCTCTGAACTAAAGCTTTTCTCACCTTATGTTGTAGAAAGTTGTTCCTCCTCAAGAGAGTCTTTGAAACATGTTTTCATCTTAAAAAGTAAATTTCAATGTATAAATAAGCAAAGAAGCAAAGATACAGATACAACAAAACTAAGTAAGTAAATAATTTGTTATTGTATGTGAGGCAGGTAGCTTGAATATCAAATTTTGTCTGTTTAGTTCACATGTAATCCAGATTATTGTTTTGAAAAATGTTTTATACAAGGCCCTAGGTTCAGTTTCCAGCACTGCAAAAAAAAAAGAAAAAAGAAAAAGAAAAAAAAAAAAACAAAATTATTTTGATTCTATATCTCCGTAAAATTGATTTTATCTAATTAGCTAATGTTCAGAAGCTAAGCTATATTTAGGAAGGTATGAGCTTAATAAATTCCCATCTTTGTATAGGCTAGTGTAATGATCAATGTGTGATCAAAGCTGATAAAAATAAACAAAATAATTACTAAGTTGACTCTAGAATGGGAAGGTCATGGTCCTTGTAAGGCTTTAAAAATGAAGGCCTTGTCAGTAACAGCCTGGTTGTCCTGGTTGCCACTTGACAGCTAAATGGCCATTCTTGGTCTTAGTCTGAAACCTGTTCAATTTTACTTCAGTGCTGTTATTTCTTCAATGTCTCTCTCTCTCTCTCT